TGTAAAAGATATATATATATATATATATATATATATTAGTAATTAATTTTTTTTACAAGTTGTTAATAATAATAGAAGGTTATTTGTTATCTTGTGTGATTAACCGTGTAAATATGATTAACTTTGTAAGTAATTAAAAAAAGTTAAACATGATTAAGTAAGATTATTTAATGTATATGGATGTAATAATGATATGAAGTTATTAAAATATTTATTAGTCCTTTGTCACAAGTAATTAATGTGTCATAATATCATAGGTAGTATTTTTATAAATAAAATTCAATGATTTTTTTTTTAAATTATCGAATCAAAACTTGAAACTATTTTCAAAATAGTTCAATTTGTTGTCAGCTTAATTATATAAAATCCTAAATTCCTTTTCTCAATGCTTGGTAATTAAACCACTTCTTACATAATAAAAAAAAAGGCTTGTGTATTTCACCCATTTCAATATAGGATTTTCAAGTTCGACTTTTCTTTAAAAAAAAAAATATATTTTACTATTATTTATTATAAAATTCTGTCAAAATTAAGTTGTTGCATTAAGTCAAACTCGAATATAATCTAAGCAAATATTTAGTATATTAGAAAATTAAATTATGACATCAACGATAACGTAATTAAATTGTTAAGAGAGCATAATTAATTTCATTAAATCATAATAATCATGTACAATATATAAACAAAAATTAAAGATATTAACTTTTGAGAAATTGATTATAAAATGTGTATCGGGTGTATCGGTCAGCGGACACACTAGTAATCTTCTTGTATATTGAGGGTTGAACGGGAGCTTTGAGTCGCAATACAGGGGGAGATACCTGTAAAAGGCACTCCGATACTCAAGTCAAGACAAACACGAATATCGATAGTAATAATAAATGAACAATAACCATATCTCGTTTTGTGTGACTATTTATACTGACCATAATGGGCTTAAACATGGTGGGCCTCGTTCCCTAATTACCAATTAGGTAATACGATGGCTAATGACAAATTAGCTCCTAACCTTGCATTATCTTTGTTAATTACGCGACTAGTTATAACAAGGTTCAATGATGACATCATCTTGGCATTTTTGGATTTCGGTTTGGTTAAGAGGGCAAGGGCGGTCACTCATGGAAGAGGGTCATGCATTTTGACGGCTGAGACGGTCGAGACGTTTGATTCTGGTGTATCAATTTGTTTGACCCATACTGGATGTTTTCGAGAGCCTCGGCCACTGGTATGGTCGAGATGGCCGAACTGAATACATATTCCTCGGTTTAGTGCCCCGTGTGGCGATCATATCTAGTATCTCTTGGCGTGTCGTCAGTCAATGAGATCAATAGGTTCGAGACGAGATGGCCAAAGGGTTTCACAGTAATTTGGCTAAGTCATGAAATTGTATGCCACGTGGCATGTCACCTGCACAACACGTGGCCACACGTTCCCTCCTAGTACACAAGCCCCTTTGTCTTGAGGAGAAAAGCGACGCGAAGGTTACAAAATAATGAGATCGTAACGGTTGCAACGACCGCAACTTTTCAATGCGAGGCATTACGATTGGGGAATTCGAAGGGTTTTGAATCTTGAACCCTTGGACAAAACGGATCCAACGGTTCCCATAAATGCGTTGCTTTTAGGGCTCCCGCCCTATGGATACTACAAATAGTTGGTGGGGGCCACTTTGCGTGCACTTGTGCTCTTGAGCCTAAGGTTGAGAATCGATAGTGACTGAGACCGAGTCTACCGATCCTACTTACTAAGAAGGTACGTGATTCTTATTCAAAATGTTCGATACTAAAATGGGTTTGCGCGTCGAGTTAATGGAGGTTAGTTCTTCTTTCAAGGACACGAGCGGGTCATCTTCTTCTAGGACCGAATTAGATTCTTTGTCCTTATTACCTACCTTATCTGGTGACTCTACCTTGGTGTCCAACGATCCCATGAGTGTTGAAGTGGTACAGAGGAACAGTAGAGACGAGGACGATGATGGGGAATCTTCGGTGTATGTTTTAGAGGGTCAACCTCAAACTATTAGGATCGCCTTGACAAGCTGAAAGTTTCCCCTCGTTGACATTCCAAGGTACAAGTGGGTCCATTGGGAGGTTGTGAGCATGCTCTTGCATTTCACGGATAGGGCCTCTATAGGCATGTTGGTTACGACCAAGAAGTTTATTAAATTTCGAGCTGATGACGAGCCTTTCCCCATCATCTTACAATCGTGCTGAAGTGATGGAGGTCCCAACCCAGACTTTGTATTTTTGGGAATTGTAAATACCAATTTTTCTATGTGTGTGATTATTGTTTTTTTTTCTACTACTCCTAACCTTCCGATAAGGCCAAGTGGATATCGCTTTTCTAAAAGGATTCATGTTTGCTTGAGCCGTATACTTCATCGTATAAAAGGTTTAAGGTGGGCTTTTTAAGGTACTGATTCGGCCAAACACGGGTAACAAGTACTTTTTTGATATTGAGGGGACTCCCTTGTTTCCTTTTTGTTAGAAAAGAATGGCTCAATCCAAGAGGGGGGGTGAATTGGATTCTATGACACTTTAAAAATTTTAAGAGTTCTTAGGATCTTTATTTCAATTCAAACTTTTCTAATATGAATTTTCAAAGAAGTTCCTTAAAGACTTGTTAATGAAGAATGAATCCTATATGCTTTCTTGATTAATCGTTGATAAACTTCAAGGTTAAGAACAATCAATATGCAATATTTTGATCCAGTTTAAAACAATGTTATGCATACAAACATGTTAATCAAGAATACTCAAAGTAAAGGATAAAGGTAAGAGAAGATTGCACAAGTCTTTTATCCTAGTTCAGCCACTCCACATGTGACCTACATCCAGTCCTCAATCATAAACTGATCAAGATTTGTTCCACTATCTTGATGAAGAAGTTTTACAAGCATACCACACATGCATACACTTCTACATTCAAGATAATCACTTTCTTGACCCCAAGAAAACACCCCTTATAGAAACCCACTACAAGAATTCCTTACCACTTGTGAAACCTACTCAAGATTTACAATTATTCACAAAGAATTAAGGAACGAATTCACCTGGAATTCAGAAGCAAATCTTAATCTTTCTCTTTTCAAGAATGTGATGATGATGATGATCTTTCCTCAAAACATTTCAAAAAAATGTTTTACTTCTTTGTTTCACAAAGAAAACTCTCCAAGAATGTC